GTGCCGAGAGGCACGCATCGTCTGCGCACGATGCCGCGCACGCTGCACGTCCAACAACGCGTGGCGGGCGTGGTGACGCTCGCCACCGCGCACAACACACACGGTGCAATCGCTTTGCCTTGCGTCGCATCGCTCGTGGATTGCGGGATCTACGGAGTTGTTATAGTGCAGCTCCGCCACTAGGGCAGACAGAGAGACAGAGACAGAGAGACAGAGACAGAGAGACAGAGATTGAGAGAAGAAGACAACGAACTTTTTTGCTGCTAATAAAAATAGATAGAAAAGAAAAAAGTGGTGTCACAGGTACGGCCCTGCCCCCCCCCTGCCCCCCTGGGCGGGCGCGTGGGCGGCAGCCTGGTGAGTGTGGGCGCTGGGGCGTGGGGCTGGGGCTGGCGGGTGGCGCGCGCGCGGGGCCCGGGGGTAGGCGCGTGAGGCGGGGCGGGAGGGCGGCGAGGGCGCCCCGGTCGCGTTGGATTTGCCCTCCACGTTCCGCGCGGGGAGAGGTGGGTGGAGGAGCACTTGGAGGGTGGGCGGCACCATGCCATCGTCTAGACTGCGCGCGGGGATGCAGCTGGGGCCAGTGTGCTACGCGCTAGAGGGCCGGGCGGCGGGCGCAAAAACATGTTGCGACAGCGTGTGAATACTTCGAAGATGAATCCGCCATAAAAACGGTATGGCGGTGGAGTGCTCTCTACTGCCGCGGCGGCCCTGTCGGTTTGGAGGCGCCAGGCGGCCGCGCGCTTGGTGCCGACGTCGACCGGCTGCTCTCGCGGCGCCGAGACGTGCCGCTTTGGTCACGTCTCGCGCGCTGCGAGGTGCCTTTTGGCATGTGAGCGCTTGCCATAGACGCCAGGATGCTTGGCTTCCATGCCTGCGGCCGCGGGCGAGCGGGCGGGCACGCCAGGCTCGGCGACGCTCTGCGCGGGTCTTCGAGCTCGCAGCCCGCGACGAGCCAGCATGGCTCGTCGCTCGACGGCAGCCTGCTCAGAATGCTCTCGGCATTCTGTACAGCATCGCCAAGCTCTCTGGGAAGGTCCGCAGGGCCAGGGCGGGGCGGGGCGCCCACAAACACACACGCACACAAACACACACATATTAATCATCGGGTAATAATTATTAATTAATAATCATCGGGCGGCGCGGCGCGGCGCGGCGGCGGGCGGCGCGGAGCGGGGCGGCGCGACCATCTGTGCTGACCGGGGCCTCTGGCCTTTGACGCGGCGCAATGGTCGCGCCGCCCTCGACTCAAGGGGCTGCCTTCCACCCATAGCTGCTCAGGCCGGGGGAGGGGGGGAGACCTCCTGTTCCCCGCGGAACACGAGACGGCCCCTCCTTGGCCGGTCTGCGATGCAGGGTGGTGGTCGTGCCCTCGTCGTCGCTTCGTACGCGCAACCACCCCGCCGCAATGGTCGCCGGCGCGCGACACGTTCCCGTCAGCAGGACTGTCCTCGCCGAATGCGTGCCGCCAAGGCGGGACGCACTCAGGGACAGTGCCGACGGGACGCGGCTCGAGGGGCGGCTCCCGCGGAGGCACGGGGGCACGGCTGGCATCCGTGGCGCGGGGCTCGTCTTCGAAAAGTCGGGCATGGCTCTACCCGCAACTCTCTCGCTGACACGCGCACCCCGTCGACCTTATGATGGGCGCGCTGCGGTCGCACGCCTCCCAAGTCATACGCCACGGCGTGCGATCTAGGATCAGCACATGCGCCTCCGCTCGCATACACTCATACAATGAATTGACATCTCCCATGAGTGCGAGTTAGGGCTAGCAGTAGGCAGCTAGCCGGTGAGGAGAGCGTCCATAGACACCTCACATGACCCCACACACGGTCTCGCCCATGCCTTGCGGCTGGCGGCGAGATTGCTAGAGGCGGAGCAAGCCTGCTCTAGTCTCACATGTTACTTCCTGTCGTCTGTTGTCTCTTTTTTGTGCCCTTGTTTGTGTCCTTTGGCACGTTGGAGTGCTGGGGGGGGCGACAGGGAGAATGTGGGCCTGAGTTATGTGTACGCCAACTCCGGGTGTGTGGCAGCCAGGTGGCTGTGTGTCTTGTGAGCCTGTTTGTGTCTGTGTGTCGCTCGTGCGTGTCGTCATCATCTGTCCAGCGTCCACCCATACCGCGTTGGTGTCCAGTCCGAGCCTGGCTGTTCTTCACCTTCCTACATACATACATAGCCTGTCTGGAAAGAAAGAAAGAAAGAAAACAGACACAGCCCAAACGAGGGATGGGGGAGGATACAGGGTCCCCACCTGCACGAGAGCAGTTTACCCCAGGAATTCTTGTCTCGCGGCGCGCTGTTGTTGAGAGGCTGGTCGCACTTCAGCCGGTTGAGAGTCCGCGCGATGTTCCAGGAGGTCAAGCCGGAGGTCAAGCCGGAGGTCAAGCCGGAGGTCAAGCCGGAGGTCAAGCAGGAGATCAGCTCCACCTCCGCCGCCGACACGGGCCGCCGCGGCGGCGGCGGCAGCGGCGGCGGCAGCAGCGGTGCCGCCTCTGCCGGAGCCGCCGCGCCCGCCGCTGCCGGCGGCGGCGGAAAGCGGCGCAAAAA